GTCGTCGTCGTCGTCGACGTCGGCGGCGGCGGTGGCGGCGGCGGTGGCGGCGGTGGTAGCGGCCGCAGCTGCGGCGGCGGTGGCAGGCAGCAGCGCAGGAAAGGCTCGCGAGAGAGAGGCGAAAGATGTATAGAAAATCTGGCGGCGGCGGGCTGGGCGTCGCGGGGCGGTGAATGACGTCACGTTGCTAAAGCGACGCGGCAACGCGAGGCGTCTGCGTGGGTCGGTGGGTGTCTGGGGGTCCGGGATCAATAGCTGCGCCAGCAACCAGGTAGTAGGTATGGGTGCATGTAGCTTTCTCCACGGTGGCAGTCCAGGAGACGAACCTCGCGAGGTAGGACACTTTCCGAGTCGAGCGAGATAGAGATAGAGAGCGAGAGAGCGAGAGAGCGAGCGAGCGAGCGAGAAAGAGAGATAGAGAGAAGGAGGAAAGAGAGATAGAGAAAGAGAGATAGAGAGAGTTCGGCGGCCTGTCAGTGTCGTACCGGAGAAGAGCGGCGCTATGCCAGTAATCGAGCGTAGCAGCGGGGTGCCCAACGTGTAGGACTGTCAGCCTCTCCAGGTAAGGGTCCAGCGGTCCAACCTCCGCTTCCGTTCCTGGCTCTTCGCGAGCCGGGAGCGCGCGCGAATCTCCGGTCTTCGAATCCCATCCGCGCGAGTTTCGCGTCCGTGTGAGAATCGCGGGGAATCCCCGGGAGACTCGCGGGAATCTCTCTCGGGGAAAGTAGCGGAGATGTGAGTCGGATGTGGCGCGCGGCCGATCTGTAGGTCGATCGAGGCGGCGTGTAAGATCTAAGTAGAGTGCATGAGAAGGCGACCGCGAAGAGATTTAAGCGAGGGAGGGATCAAGAGAGATATATAGAGAGAGAGAGAGAGAGGTCAAGAAGCAGCTTACGGGAAGAGAGACAAGTGGGAGAGGGCGCAAATTGGCAGATAGATTGGATAAGTAGCACGCACGCACGCACGCAGGTAGCTAGGCGGATGACACGGCGGGACGGACGGGTAGAGGTTGATAGATGGACCGATGGGCGGATCGACGGCAACGCCGAAACGGACGGGACGGACAGATAAATATGGGCAATTGGCAGAACGGAAAGACGGATTCGCAGATACGGACGCGTAGAGCGGGATTTAGACGAGAACGGATTGACAGGTCAATCGCTCGACATTGTCGAAGATTGCTCGACCGGAAAAATGTTTCCTCGTTTGTTGCAACATAGAAAATCAGGAGTTACCATTTCTCAAATCTTTTCCGTTTAACCGCAGTGCGAATAATAAATGTCTCAATAATAATCAATTTCGCAAGATAATATAAAAATCTGTGTATTGCAAAAACAGGTGAGATGTGAAAAAATGAGAAGAATGAGCATAGAACGTAATCTAGAAGTAAGTCGCATTCATTGAAATTATTTTGCGGTGGTTTGTGATAGCTCGAATCGCGAGAAAAACGCGCTATACCAATTCCGTTTTTTTCCCCCGTCGGATTTTGCTCAACGATAAGCGAGTGACGTATATTTCGCCATTAAAGTTGCATCAAGATTGATAAATTGCAGGGATGCGTCAAATATACGATGCCATTAAACCGCGGCGCGCAGATGCATTTTCGAGCGCTTTATTTACCCGCCATCAAATGGCTTTTATCAATCAATGACTGATCATAGTGATAATTCGCTAGATGCGATCGGCTAATTGATGAAATTCACGCATTCGTCCCGCGCGTATTAGCTCGCGATTATGATGACGGAGGCAAACTAACTCGCGGCGCGTGTCGTAAATCGCTCGCCTGCCCTCGTCGCGGTAAACCCACCCGCACGCTCTTCTTCTTTGTCACCATTTGTCAAGCTCCCCGTACCTAAATTATGAATTATGGTGTCCGCGTGGTCTATTCATGTAGTTTGAGCACGAGGAGAGTTTATTAAACCTTCCAAAAGAAATTGATGTTTTTAATACACTTATGTGTAAATTTTAACAAAATTTCAGGTGCTTGCAAATTAAATGAATAAAGTTAAATCTGCTTCAATACACAATTACTAGAGAATATTTGAGACTAATGAAAGCCATGCGCAGTGTAAAATTAAATTTAAATACAACATATATTGTATATATTAATTAACATTTATCAATTAAATTTTTAATTCTTTTATAAAAATATGGGAAAAATCTGTGCTATCCTTTATAAATTAAATTTATGTTCGCTCCGTTCATTGCACTCCGCTCTTTTATCAGTCTATAACATTTTCTAATAATTACTTGAAATTGAATTATCTGAATATTTCTGTACGACATGCAAATCGTTATTTTTTTCTTTCACTCATCATTTCGAATAGAAATACGAGAAAATCACTTAGAAATTCGACACTTGATAATAATTTATTTTACAGTAATCCGTTTTACCATAAGATTTTAAGAGCTAATAAAGTGACGGAACGCTGCTCGTTATCTCGTTCGCTGACAAAGCGTTAATTCGCTAACGACACGTGTTAGCGGAGCGAGCGTAATTCACGGACAAAGATGTTGCGCGGCGATAAGGGTACCTTTCAGTGTTCCTCTTCGATATTGCGGGCGACATTGACATTGATGATACTGAAAAGGAGCTCTCATTACTTACTTGCGGCGCTCATTTGGTCGGCCGTTCGCGTACGAATCTTGTTAGCCGCAATCACACTTAATCATCCGCTCGCGTCAAGCTCGTCGGGGCGAAGCACACTGGACGGTCCGTCAACATCATTTTCACGTTGACACACTTCGTCGTGCAGTCGTGCTTCGTCGATTAAGCTCAAGTACTAAATGACAGGTTACGCGTAACTTTACAGAGTATCGCGAAGCACCGCAAATTAATGCATGGCGTTCAAATATTTGCGCGAGATCACGGATTTAAAGGGCGTTTAATCCTCACACAGTTAAAGATACTTGTATCGTAGTAGATTTTTATCAAGCAGACTCTCACGTCGCACTTTACATATTTTAACGTCTTTATCTGCAAGTGATTAAACCTTTAATCGGTCAAACCAAAAGTCATCTCGGAGATCCCGGCAACAATAATGCCGAGAGGAGCGGCGGCGCGGGGGGAAAGCTGGCCGCGAAGCATTCAAACAGTCAATTGGGTCTCTCAAGTACCTGGAATCTGCGAAATATCTCGGGCTCGGGGTCGGGTCATCTGTAACGCGGGTCGAGGCTCGGGTCGCGGTACTCGAAACTTTCGGGTTGCCTCAATATTGCCGACCGACTAGTTGGTTGCCGGGGGCAGCAAGGGGGCACTATATTCCGCGGCTCTTCTTAAAACTGTGTATACAAAATGAACTGCGCTGCGCAGTTGCTAATCCAGGAATACTTACAATGTTACACTGTGCGTGGAATCGCGATGACGGTGTATTTAAAGCTGCAGCGGCGGACACGTGTAAACGATATTTTCTCCATACGATCGCACGCATCTGATTCACGCGAGTCCGACGTATCTTTCCAACGGAAATAGGTCGTGTGTGTGCGTATCTTGGCGTCGGGCCGACTTTTTGAACGCGATACAATCACTTCTGCAACGTGGTTCCTACGGCGATTCACGGTCGGGGCAGGCGTCCAATTCGTGTGAATTCGTTGAATTGTTGAGTCGACGGTTAAATAGGCGAGAGACGGGCGGGCGAATGACGACTTCGTCACTCACGGACGAATATCTTGGATGCGCGTTCGACCACCGGTCTCAGTGGCACGCGAGCGGCAATCGGTGTCGCGCCGAATTTTCCCCCCGCTCTTTCTTCGCGAGACTGAAAATTGCATGATCGACTACCTGTTATTGCAGAAAGAGAATTCTCCTCGCTACGCAAAAGCAATTTAATCTCGCGAGACAGTAAATACTCTTGTGCGCAAAGGGAACAAGTCGGTCTTCGGCACGCTTTGATCCACGCGCACACACGTTGCCTTAATTCGATCAATCTTTGGGAGTTGGTGAGACACGGTAAATGGAGGCGTCGTCGGCTTTTGTGCTTCCACGCGTCGGGCTTCTTCGCGCGCGCTGCATTAAATGTCGCTTGTACGACATCGTAATTGCGTCAGTCGGTTTGGAAACAACACCAAATAAATTGGCAATAATTGACAAAATGTTTTTATTTATGTTATTTTCTTTTTTCATGCAGTCGCTACGCGAAAGCAGATATATCGATTTTGGAAGCAACATGCTGCTCAACTTTCTTTAGAATAAAAACAAATTTGCGGGAACCGCAAGGGAGTAATATGTAAATTGTATCGCGCGATAAATATAAATTTAATCATCGCTAATGCGAACCCGCGCAGGGATTCGCCCTGCCGCAGAATCTTTGTGAAGGTATATGCATCTTGTTCTATTGCAGGCCGGCGCAATGAGGCCTGGAGTACTACCGTTACTGGTGTTACTAGCGGTCCTGCTGCATCCGTCGAGGTAGGTTGTTTTATTTGTGACACGGAAGACTCGTACGTCGAGCTTTTGATTGATACTCCTACGTACAAATTTTGTGATCGCCCTCAATCAGTCTCGTGTGTCGCGTGAATTAATTGTATTACAGTTGCGCATTTTGGAAACGGTGTCAAGGCACGTGTCGCACATGAGTGAGACAACAGAAATGTAATTCCGGGAAGGGAAGTTACGGCTTCTAAAGATATATGTTATTGACCCGTGTAGCGTTTTGTTATAGTACATAAAGTTTATGCGGTACTCAATGCGCAACATGCGCCAGCATCAGAATTTTGCACGCAGAATGCACGAACAGAATAGCGGAATCGAATTAATTATATAGCATCCTATATATTTTTATTATATAAATTTGTCTTTTTGCGAATTTTTATCTTTAACGGTTGCATAATAGTTTCTCTTTTAGAAACTGTCGTTTTTTTTGTGTTACTGACAAGATACTTTTGGTTGGTTCTTTTTTTTTCAGATGTTCGCAGCCGGCAAAGGTAAACTTCCGGGAGAAGGAGAAGCAAGTGCTCGACAACATCCTAGGACCAGGCCGGTACGATGCGCGCATCCGGCCGAGCGGGGAGAACGGAACAGGTGAATATAGAGATTCTTGTGCATCCTTAATTTACTTCCTCCGCCCATCCTCACCATGTATCGTGATTTTGTACGAACATCTCGCGGCGAATAAGCCGAGAAAATGGTGAATGTAGGGTGGAATAATTTCAAGAGAAAAGGAAAAAAAAGAAACGGGGTGTTCGGAGAGAGATACATGTACCGCACACTTGGGCGAGAGGGTTTAAGCCTCGTCGAGTGCGCGGAAAATTCAACGCGCGATGCTACACGATCCGCGCCGTCGTTAATGCGATGCGACGCAGACGACGGGCGTGCGAGGTCTATTGACAATGGGTGATATATATCTATATATAATATAATGCGAGCGAGACGAATTGCGAGAATTTTCCGCACGTCCGTGCCGGAATGAATGCAAATACCGAGCGGCGAGAAATTCCTTCATAAACTTCGCGAATGCGGACGGCGGATCGGCTCCGTTCGGACGCGATCTCGAGACACATCGAGATCTGCGCAAGTTTGCAGTATTATGTTTATTCTTGCGATTCTCCTCAACTTGTGTATTTTACTGTTCGTGTAAGATATCATTTTTTACTAATATATTGCGGTAAACATGTGTGAGTAAATTGGGAGAATTGCGCGGTCTGGCGATCTCGCTTTGTCACAATTGTAAAGTTATTATTTTCTATGTAATATAACACAAATCTCTCGTATCGTATAAATTCTCACATATAGTGTAGGTTGATTTAAGTTGTGGAAGAAGCAGAAGGAACGGATCTCACAATGGTGTTCGCGCTTGACACGATGAGGTCAAGATTCTGCGTATTTGCCGGAGTATCTCCGAGCGAAATATCTCCGACGCGTAATTCGACCGAGAGCCGTCTTCCAATCTCCTCCACATTACGCGCCAGAGGTGTATCGGCTTTTTTTGCGATGTGGCAATTTCAAATCCCGCCGATATCGATCGTCGCCGGCCGAGTCCCGCGGCAAATATCGCGATTCCTGTAGTCAGCGGGTCGAGTGGCGAAAGGCGAGAGTCGTTCGTTCGGCGCGATAGATAAACGAAGCCAAGTAGAAATGAGGACGTTGCCTCGTATCAGCGAAGGGAGACGCGAACGTCCGCTTGGTCCGGCCGCGTTTATCGAAGCCTAATCGATTAACTTCTCGAGTGGGCTACACGGCCAAGTACAACGGTGGGCAGAGTCAACTAATTAAATATCGGAATGATAAACGGAGCTCTCTGCTTCACTTCCGTGAAGACGGAGTCGCTCGCTCGTGTTTGTTTATACACTCGTCCGAATGTTGGAAGTAAATTTGCAAGTCGTTAGCGCGTCGATTTGCCAAGTCAAGTTTATAAATCATGTCGTATTTTCTTGTGTGTTTATTACACGTGCGAGATTTCTTTCGACATTTTGATATATCTTTTATTTCTTATTTTTCGCACTGGATAAAACATCCCGTTTCTCACGTTACATATTCGAAGGCTAATAATTTCAAAGCTAAAATTTTTCAAAATTAGAGAGTGCTATGTGATGACAGTGCCGTCACTATTTATAAAAATTCCACTTGAAGGATTTGGAAAGGCATTTAATTACACATTTAATTACACTAAATCTTTCGAGACAACAAGATCGCCGAGTTCGGGATTGAAATCGTGTTAGAATTTTATTCTCCTTGTAAAGGCGTGAAAGAGTAATTGAATAAATCGTACCGAGAGCGATAACGTGTCGCCGTAAAACGAACGAATAGGTCTTAGAATATTCCCTAAGCACGCTCGCCGCGTGCCTACTAGCGGACGTGTATATCGCATTAACTCGGCAGAAGAGGGCGGAGGGCACGATTTATGTGATTTCTTGATCACCCGTTTATAGGCGTGTCGCGCGCGGTAATAAAGAGTTTTTAATCGTCTCTCCCGCGTGTTCGCGCGCAAGAGAGAGAAAGAGAGAGTCTTCGGGCATTTACATTTCGCGTACGACGGCTGTATACGTTCGACTGCAGGCCGATGCTTAAAGGCCGGATCGCGTGCCTCCGTAAACGACGCTCGTTAATTTTATCGTTTGAGTATTAGCAGTGAGTGCGCGCCGCGTCGGTGAAGTTTTTGCCCGGCCGGGACGCGATGGAAGGGCGGAAATTCATGGCACTTTCGTGCCCGGCTGCCACTTCGGGGGTAGGAACGCCGTCAAGATTGCGCGCACGAGAGGCGTGTTGTGCAATGCGCTTAAATACAAGCCCGCGGCACTTCCGGGAGAGAGGAAGCACTCGTGCCTTTCCGGGCGTAATTGGGAAATGGTCGTTCGATCGCGTGTATTCGTAAATTTCGACCCCGTCCGTAATCACAGCTCGTTTATCCCGCTTAACGTCGCGATGACGTCGCGCGCAGTTAATCGACTATGAGAGCAGAAACCGCCGCGTATGACGCGTTTAAGGTCCGGCGTCACACACATCGATCGTTATCTCTCGTTCGCTCTTGATCGATCAGGCGGCGAGGCAGCCTGGCGTATCCTTTTCAATCCTCACTTTTACACTCGATGTCTCTGCGAGTGAAGAAGTCATCCAAATTGTACAGATACACGTAGATACATGTAGAAGAGAATCCACTTTTTCCAATACTCTTACACACTCGTCGGGGCATTGATTTAGATTTACACTCGAATCTCTCACTGAGAGACGTATTAATAAATAAAACAGAGATCGCATGTGCAGTTTTTTGCCGATTTTCAGGAAATGGAAATTAAGTACATGCATATGTTATTTTTGTGTAGCGCAAAAACACATCTGTTAAATGCCCAACACGGCGTGTTTAATTGAAAGGATGGAATGGATCGTCCAAAAATTATCCGTTTCCATGCGGATCTTTGAAAACAACGGTGGTTTGTAATTCACGAGTCACTGTTAATCTGTATTTGCGCACGGACTGCAATTACCTGTAATATGCTGCAATGTGTAACGGTATAATGAATGGCGCGCGTTTCCCGATATCGATCAAACACACTATTTTCGTTTCGCATTGTGTCCGCCGCGACCGCAGTTGATTTATATTACAATCTTGATGGACTGTTGTCGTTCAATCTTTCGCTCAATGTCTTGCATTACTTATACCTGTGCCGACCCGATTTATTGCGATAGGGATGGGGGGTAGAAGGGCGAAGTAGACAGGAGAAGCTCACGATTGATTGCACGAGCGAGTGAAAAAAAATTACACACAGAGGCATTTTACATACTCTTCTGGTTTCTTGGTCTCACGCGAGGGTAATTGATTTCCAGATTCGGACATCTCTGCCGAAAAAAGAACGCTCGACCTTCCTTCGAGAAAAGACGTATACAAAGTAGCCCAAGATTCGTACATCTGCTGCATGTAATGAGATTTTTTTCATCAGCTTTTTACGTGAACTAAATTCGAGTTGGTTCTCTTGGCTAAAATTGGACCGAAATAAATGTTAATTTTACATCCTCTCTTACGGTAAATACTTTTCAGGTCTTAGAGAGTTCAATTTAAATATCGAATATTTAATTGACACTTGAACCTTCTTTTTTTTAGATGTCGTAAAATCAATTGTTATTTTTGTCCAAGAGTCTCATTGCATAATGCATGACTGACGAGTGTTTTGGTTATTGCTGCACTTTGAAACTTGATACGTTTTTAAATAAATCGCGCAAACATCATTCTTTGATTAACGCGTTGACGTATTTTCCTTTGGCCGCGCCAAAACGATAATGTTGCTTGCCAGAAATCAAATTAAGTAAACAAAATATTGCTGTTAACGTTAGTTGCTCTTTAAGATAGAATCGAATCACAAGCGGAATACAATGGCGGTTCGCCACATTTAGCGGTAACATTATACTGTCCACATATCCTTTGTGGTCGCAACCGCTCGTTGGCTGCACCTTTACGCGCGACTCCCGTCTTCCGTCTGTAAAGCGGTCTGCAAATCCGGTCTGAATACTAAACTACTGTATGCGCGGTGTAACAAGCGTAAGTGACTTGAAGAAGATTCATAACTGGAATAGAAGCGAAAAGAAGGAAATGCACGCGCGGTAGAACTGATGGAAATTTTGCTGCCGAATTATCAACTGCTGGATATTACAATTAATCATGTCGGTCTGTTATGTGGTTAAAACTCGCTTTAACGGTAAAAGGAATTCATCTTTCTAACGAAGTCCATATAAAGCTGAGCTAGATATGCCAGGCATTGCAATTATAAATATCCATTTCGACACGAAATGCATGTGAAATGTCAAGGAAACCGACCGGTATTATCGTGCGCAAATGAAATTTTACATCGAGGTAAAAATAATGAATGAAGATTGAATATTGCTATTAACGAGCCATCAGGGACGATTATATTACTCGGTAATTGAATGAAAACTTCCACGTGAAGTCGTGTTAAAAGTTTACGCGTACGTACGTTATTCGTCAATTAACGTTTATAGAGCGGAAAATCAGGGGGACGAATTTAAGCATCTTATAATTAACGGTGAGTTAATTTACGACGCGTATATTTTGAGAAAGCAGTTTTAACACTTTTTGTTTTAATAGAAAAATACGCTTTTTATTTCATGATTTTATTTCCGAAATATGTGCATTTCGTATGATCGAATTAGCTTTCTTCTTCCGGCATTAATATTAATCGCGCCGCGTGACGCGACAGCTCGAAGTGCCCTTCGAACGGTCAAATAAAAAGTCGATATTAACCGAATAAAAATCAAATCGCGCTCGAGATGACAGTACGTACATATTTGCATTAGGTGTTTACATTATGGCTCGATCGTCGTTCCGCGATCGAAGGTTAAGCGGGTGAAGCCGTGAGAGCGCGCCCGCCTGTTGGAGCAGGTGTTAACATTCATAACGGAAAGAGATCCACGCGGATACGATACCGCGGGGAGCGGGCACCGCGGGTACATAGGTAGATAGACGCACACACATACACACAGCATCGATTTGGCTGGTGTCCCTGGCTCGTGATCGGCATACCGTGTCCGACGCAGTTATGGGATTCATCCCGCGGCCGGATTTGGCAGGCCGCGACCGGATTTCGCGTTGGACGCCCGCCACGCGGATCGGCGGGGATGGCATCGATGCGAGATTTCGGCAAAGAGAAGGCGTCATCGACATCAGACGATACGGGCCGTGAACGAAGAGGGGGGGGGGAGGGAACGGTAACTGAGCGGAGCGCGCACTAACGATAATTATCGCACTTCGCAACCTTCGGTCTTTGCAACGAGCACCTTGCGACACGCACACGTACCGCTTGACACGCAGAGAATTCTATTTCACGCGAGCAATTTGAGCACAATCTCGATAACCGAGAAGTACCGGAAGGAGACCGCTTCACAGCGCTTCGTGAACTCACTTTGTAGTCACTTCGGGTGTTTTAGAATTTTTTGTTTCTTTTTTTTTTTTATACACGATCGTTGATTACACATAGCGAATTAGACGGATGATAATTAGATATAATGCTGTAAATGATACAAATATCTCACGTTATGTATTGTCACGCCGCACGATTTTTTTCATCAAACTATCATGAAAGGCAAACGAAAACAATTCTTATCTCAGATGTATGTCGCGAGATATACGTGTGAATCGACTAAACTCCGGATTAAAGCCGCACGCGAGATAACAGGCTCAGGTATGTAATTCACGTGAGTCACGACCCGACAATCTGTTATCGCGCTTTATAATTAGGTGACGACAGGAAGGACTTTTTTGCGCACAATTTTCCTCGACGACGGCGTCGGTGTCAGCTTTCATCGCGCAGCGTCACACTTTCTCGCCAATTTTTACAAATTGCCATACTTCGCGCCAATCTTTTCCCATGACTTTGCAATTTTTTTTTCCTTTTTCATATCTTGAATTTTCAAGGAGAACAGATGTCACCCCGAATACGTGACTCTCGTATTGAACGGCGATCCTCGAGGAAAACAGGGGTGATGTTCCGAAAAGATCATTCTTCGAGTTTTTTTTTAACAATCTTTCGTGACTCGGTTTTCAACCGGGTTTGTCGACGTAACGAAACAAAACTCTCACTCGATCATTCCTTATCCTCTGAATCGCGTTGAGACTCGGCGAGACCGCTTGAATAGTAGCCGAGAGCGTGGTAAAATAAAAAAAAAAAAAAAAAAAAAAAAAAAAAAAAAATAAATTTACGGGCGCGTTCCAGTAGAGTATGTAAGCCATCAGAAATGCTGACTCACTAAAAGGGAGCTGTATTGTTTTTGCCCTTAGATGGGCCGGCCATTGTCCGGGTAAACCTGTTTGTGCGAAGCATTGCGACAATTAGTGACATCAAGATGGTAAGTATATATAATACGCTAAACTAACACAAGCCTTTGAAACCGCAACCGGCCGCAACTCGCCGTTTCTTCTCTTTGCCGACGCGGTTTTATATGCCCCCTTTCTTTATTTGTCTCTGTCACTTTTGCAAAAATGCAGTAGGCGCAAACAGTAGGTTTAGGCGAAAATGAGTCTTGGTCTCGTAATCGAAGACAGAGAAAGAGAGAGAGAGAGAGAGAGAGAGAGAGAGAGAGAAGAGAGAGAGTGCGAGTGAGATCTCTCTCTCGGTGAGCGAGAGAGAAAGGGAGAGAATGTCTCCAGCCGGCGACCGGAGAGACGAGGCGACGACGATGCTACCTCGGAGAGAAAGAGAGAGAGAGAGAGAGAGAGACCAGGCTGGCAAAGGCGGTAGCAACAGAACACACACACGCAACGTAGTAGAGTGCAGCAACGTAGCAGAGTGCCGGTCCAGCAGCATCTTGCCCTCCTTTAACCCGAACGCTCTTTTGCCCTCTAGCCCCCATAGCCCTCTAGCCCCGCCTCGCCCTGTTGCTAGCCGTCACCGCTAGCAGCCTCTTCTCGAACGGAACATCCACACGAACCAACCGACCACCACCACCAACCACCACCGCTACCACCACCACCACCACCACCACCTTTGACTAAACCGCCCTGAGAAACCCACCCCAGAAACTCTAGCACTCTATAGCATAGACGCAGGCATGTGGCATACTCCAAGCTTATATAATACATTTGCGTATGTTAGTTACGTCACACCGGACCATCGGACGCGGAGCGGCCAGATGAAAGAGTGCGACACTCGTGTCGTTGAGTCGGGTATGCGAATTGGAGGGGGGGTGCGGACGGGGGAGAACCGAGGATGCGATTACATTCGGACCTCGCGACGTCCTTATTTCATAGGGACTCTGCTCATAACAACAACACTCGGCCCTCGGCCGCGTTAATCTTCGACGTTGCTTCAATCCGAGCAACGTAATCACTATGGGGGGCGTATCTCCCTAATCTTATTTCTCGCAATCTGCCGTATTGTATCGTCGAAGGAGAGTGGCTGCATGTATGTATTCGAGTTCCGAGTGGAACATGGACGACGCGAAAAAGTTTTTCTCAAGAGACAGGCTTGAAAAATGTGCGAAAGGCCGTCCCTCGGACGGCCCTTATCGGGGCTTTCACGTCGCTCGGGAAATACTTCCAACACGATTGCTCCTCGCAATGCTCGCAATAGACGCTCGATGCGATTTCGCGATGAGACGATCGGCCGGCCCGTTGCACCCTGTCGAGACCGCAGAAGCGAAACTTATGTTTCACGTAGGTAACGAGATTACACCGTCTACTATATACTGCCCCGGCTCCCGGGTCGTATGGGCGCCGGAAGTGCACGTCGAGAAGTTACATCGGATGCGTTCCGGCACTCCCGTTCGTAGTAGCGCGCGAACGTGCTAGGCTCGCCGTCAGGAAGGCCTCTTCGTGTTCGAGTTCCGCCTGTGTAAAACGCGCAACGCCCGCCAGATCAAAGAGCGATCTCACGAAGGGACGATTGATCGGTCTCGAGTACTGTACGGGGTGTCCCAGAATGCCGGACTTGAATTCTCACGACAGAAACGCGGACGTAATCGAGGGAAATGGGACATTTTTTTATTTCGATGTCAATTTTATTTATTAATCGGAAAAAATTGGAAAAGGAGGGAGGACATTTTTATCATCTTATTAAATATCGGGAAAAGTTGTTGACGTTGAATTATTCCGTGCAATACATTAGACCGGTCAAAATGTATATTTTATGATACTTTAGAAATCTTCCCTGCACATCACGCGAGCAATGACATTATAAATATTAGCATCGCTCTGCACTGAAAAAAATTACATTTTATTACCCGCAATGAAATAGATTGTTCACCGTCAAAGTCAATCCGTTTTATACCAGTTGCTCTTCGACGAGAGAGAATTTATCACGCAAACTTGGGCACGCTTGAATTCCACCGGATTTCGAAACTTGGGCTATCCGATATCGCAGGTATTGATACCGCTCGATACTTTCGGGCGTGATAATCAATGAAAAGTTTCTACAACGATGACTTTGGTTGAAATCATTGCAATTAATTCATATTATTATTTTCTATGCTTTATTCAGTTACAGCTGCCGATAATTCTATTATCTTGAGTCGTGAACAGCTTCTGATGTAGATAATAGGTATTTATGTTCTATTCGGGCACTCCAGATAACTCAGTTTCGCTAATAATTAATTTTTAAATAATTTAATGAATTGCGTGCGTAATTTAGTGTCATCAACGGAATTGGGATATTTGGAGTATCCAGAAAATACATGCATTTGTTATCTAAATCAAGAGTTATATATGAGCCGTTTAAAAGTCAAAGTGAAAACACTCTATCAAATAAAACACTCTGTCAATTTATTTTATTTATGCAAAGTTAAGCACATCAGTTTTGGTTTTAGGGCATCGATCATGTAATTTTTCCCTAGGAGCGGAAACGTGAAGAGTGAAAATTTCACGTGAATTTAACGAATAGAATTGTCAAATTTACATAAAAGTTTTCATTTTTCACGTTTCCGCTTTTAGGGAAAATTACATGATCGATGCTCTGAACAGCTCATATATATTTGTGACTCAAATCGACAAATACTAAAACTAGCATTTGCGTCGTCGTATGTATGATGATTTCTTTCAATAAGCATTCCGGCCTCGCGAGAGACTGATTTCTCGCGAAAAGGGATGTCTTAAACTTGGAGCATTTGTGCTTGAAAAGAAGAGCTTGGAGACTCGTAACGTTTCCTGCTTTATGTAGCGCGAGCTCGGATTTAAAGGGTCGAAAATGGGTCGGCACGACTGCTGGGGATCGTCGTCGACGATGCCGGCGATCGACGTCCCGACGAGCACTGCGTGTCCGACGTCTTGTCCTGGTTCATGTAGGGCGGAATGGTACGCAAACACTCTGTATGGCTCAGGACGATACGGCTGGCTCGTTTATGCTGCTGCGGACAGAGAGAGTGAGCGAGAGAATGTGTGTGTATGTGTGTGTGTGTGTGTGTGTGAGAGAGAGAGAGAGAGAGAGTGACTATTCCGGATGCGACGACGATGACGTGTAGCGAGGCGCGCGTCGCCGGATCGGCGCTGACGTTCGCTCGTTTAATCGCAGGCTAAACGCTGATAATGACGCCACTGCCGCGAGCTGCTAATCGCCCATCCGATAGCTGTCGATAACCCGCCGGCTATTTCGCTGACTCTGTACACAGATCCGATCGAAATAAGGTGCAATCTAATCTCCTCCGCTTCGAGCGGTGATAAGAAAGTAGGGATAAAATTGGAAAGACTGTCTCGGGATTAATAAATTAGTGAGATTTATCAATCGCGGTCGCTATGTGTAATTTTAATATCCTGAAATTGATGTGTAAACTTCTCAAATGAGGACGTTTTTGAAACGTGACACGGCAATAAGAATAGCTTTTTCGCAGAGAGATAGATATATTATTCTCAGAATAATTTAAAAAGTCATCTTTACCTGCTCGTGGGAAATAGATCGGTTGTCAATGCCAGAGAGCGATATCGAAATATCTCCCGTGCACATGCAGGGCTACGTGTTACTCCGGCTTCTCCGTGTAACGGTCCGTCACACGCTCGCGTCTTTCGCGTTTCCATGACGCCGGCGTTCCGCAGCGTTAGCCTCTAATATCGTCAAATGTCGCGTAAGTTTCCGATTGACGCGAAGGCGTTTAACGTCATTGTTGACGCATCGTCGATGCGCCGAGTTTACCGCCTACCGAAGACGCCTAAATAATGCACTTTCCAAGTTTCCTCGCCGGTGTAAAGTCGCGCATTTTCGCGCGGTGCCGCACGCGCGCCACACTTTACGCGTCATATTCGCATTTTTTATGCGTAACAATCAAAGGGGACGGGTGTCTCGCTTTGATGCTAATCGGACCGTGACAGCGGCATGGAAATTTCGTTCGATAATAACGCTCGAGTGTCAGTGAAGTTGCTAGAACGAGCAAAGAAATCCCCGCGAGAGCCAGCCTCCCTTCTGCCGCGAATATCTTTTTTCCGTTTTTCATTCGTGTCTGTAGCAGGCATCAATTTTTTCTGCGAGCTTCTTTTTCTCACGATATTCCGAGGAGAAATTTCACAAAAGGGAGATGATCGAAACATCGTTGAGGCCAAACCAAGTCTCTACCGTCTCTCGCGGCATGAATATTTTCACAGAGTTTGTGAATCAAAGTCATCGATTTTATTGTTTTTCTTTTTATCTTTTATCTTTTAAGGAACTCTCGAAGAAATAGATATCGGCATGCAAATACGACGCTCTATCGTGTCGCGATTTGTCCTAGATTCAGCAGCAAGATCGGGTTAATTCGACATTGTCGTGAGACACGTCGTCGGATGCGCCCCGACGACGACGATGACGAAGGCAGCGACGACGGCGGCAACGGCGGCGGCGGCGGCGGCGGCGGCGGCGGCGGTTGTCATCGATTTTTCATCGCGTTTCCGCTTATCCGATCTTTCATATTTCAACCGCTCGATTGTAACCGGTGTGCGCGCAATTTATTTAGCTTCCGTTGATCCGTATCTTCGTCGATTCGCGTCGTCCGTCCCGCGTGTATCGATTATCCCCCCGACACCGCCGCTTATTTCCTACGGGAGCATCGATTCCGCGCGAGTAAACATGCGAGTAGTACGAGAAAATTCGTTTCGCGGTATCGCGCGCGACCGATATAAACACGAATTTCTCAGAATACCTACCGGTGCGCTCCCGCCGCGCCGCGTCGTGCATTATTTCCGTAGCTGCGATTCCTCAATGAGCGACGGGGCGTTTTCGTCGTGGCGCGCGCAAAAATCCGGCAAATCGAGTTAGGAAAACTGTTCGATATTGCGGCGCGAAACGAGGAAATGGAAGGAAACGGATAGTCGCGGAAGAGGAAACAATTTACCGAGATCTATGGATCCGCAGTGAATTCCCATATGACCGAATATAGATCACCGGGGGAGT